AAGAAGTCCAGTCGTTTGAAATGTGTATAAAATATCTTTTTTTATTCATTACAGAGGGTTTACACAAAAGTGGATTAAGAGGTATGTATGTGTCCAATAATTATTAGAGTTTTATTATTTATAATATATAAATCAATCTATATAAATGTTTATTTTCTGACAATAAAGGAAATTACTTAAATCTCTTTTTTAAAGAATTTCAAAATTTGCCATGAATACTGCGAAAGATTTTATAATAAATAAACAATTTATTAAATTTTCATAGTTAAATTCCACTACGGGCTAGCCATTGGTGACGAATTTTTCTTCGATGTCCCCCGTACGGTCCTCAATGCGTTCTTCTCGGGCTGGGGTGTGGCACAGGGAGAACCCAATGCCCCATATAACAACTTGACCCTGTACTGCCACCCGGACCGCGTGCTTTGCGGCTTCTACGACAACCATGACAACATCGCCGGTCTTCAAATTGCTGTGAGTACCACCATTTACATGCCACCAGGTTATAAGCGTATCTTACCTAGAATTAACTCCTCGATTGCTCGAAGAGTTAATTCTTGATTCTTAAGACAGTGATATATTGAATAATATTAAATAAAAAATAATCGCAGGTCTTATACATAAAAAGTGCTTTAAACGCTGGGTCGTAGATCAAATTTTACTATTTTTTTACAAAATCTTGTGCAGCTCGACCAAAGTGAGTTCGACTTTGCGAATGCCACCTTCGACTGGGAAGCCCAAGGCTACTCGAACTGGACTCCCCCTGTCAGCTTCGGACAAAGACGCAGGACTTACTGGACCACGCAGTTATTCTTCGTTTCACCATGTGAGTCACTATTCTTGTATATATACAGTATTTGTAGGAACTATGGTAAGTTTAGATAAATTATTTAATTTCTTATTATTTTTATTTAGACTCATTCGACTTGTACCCAAGAAATAATACTGGGCACGTATTGAGAGACGACAAACTCTTCGTCACCGGATTCAACAAGGAGATCTACACTATCTCTGGAAACGAAACGGTAATTAAGAACGACTCAAGCATTTTCACACAGCAAGCTTGTATCAACTGGATGGGTGAGTAAAGCAATAGTATATTCAAGAGAAATACATGTTTAGATACCGCTAAGTGACGCTTCTGTCAGCGGAACACTTTTTAGTATCACCTCTAGTTTCTTTGCATTGTCACAATATTGGCCCTTACTTAATTATTTACCCTTGTACAGGCCGCCACTACTTCTACAACATGACAGAAGCCACTCAATGCAACTCCCATTCCCTCTTCCCCTGGTTCCCTATGTATGACTCCAACGAGTTGGTAGGAGTTGGCTTCTTAACTACCGGCATACACAGGGTGGTTAGCGGCCAGCGCGACTGGTTCGAAAGGCACCCGGAGTTTGCTGTTAAGGTATGTTTTTGCTTTATTATTATTAGTAGCAATTAATGCAAATCTCCATAAGTTAAATTCAAATTTTTTTTATAGATTTTCTCGGAAATTAAAGTATATTTCAGCCTTCTAACAAAAATACAGTTTTATCCCTGTGTGATTCAATTCGCTGTTCGATATTTGATATTATAAAGCAAGCTTTTCCAGTGTCAAGTTCTGATAAACTGTTGTTTCTCAGGCTATCATTCCCCACGGACCGAGATGTCTCTACGACTTAGCCAAGAAGAACCAGCTCATCACGATGCGTATCTACTTCGTCGACGAACCCTGGCTCATTGGATGCCCTCTTTGAGAAAACCAAATAATAATCTAATAATGTTTGGTATTTTCTTATTATAATTACATGTATATCAAATTTATTTTTGTATTTATTTACAGCTTGTTTATTAATTCATTGAACTCTTAACTTTTGCCTATTGGTTTATATTAATTCTAAGATTAGAATCTATATTAATATTATAAGGATAAAGGGATTGTTTGAACGCGCTACTCTTGACAAGTTCTTTATGGTATAAAATTAAATAACTGTCTGTACAGTAGAAAGATAAAAAGGAAAGAAAATCACGAAAGGAACTGAGATAGTATTTACCTACTCCAATAGCTATATGTTAAGTGACGCCTAGGCACTTGAAATATTTACCTACACTTTATTTTATTTTACTTAAAAATGTGTATTAAAAGTAACAGGAGTTGGCTTAACGAATATAAATTCAAGGGGGGCGTTCCACACAATTACCGGAACACATTTAATTATTATTATAAATTATTAAACCAATTTAGACGTCAAATTTCAATGTATCATATCATCGTAATCATAGAAGTATAAAAATTAACAACTTAGATTGTAAGGCAAGACCCAAAACCTCTGCAAGGAGGAAAGGGGAAATGGGTCTGTCATACCACAGGTGTCCCCGATAGAAAATAATAATAGTTTGTAAGGCAGTCTTTTCAGTCTTGATGTTATACTTTTATTATTTATAAAGTTGCATCTTTGTAAGATAAAAATCTAATCTTAAGTTTTTATTGTTTAGTGTACATTTTCGTTGTTTGGTATTTGATTTCATTGTATTTTACAATTTATTGCATTTTCCTCTCTATTTTTGTTGACTTTTACTCATTTACTGTTATTTTGTTTTCCTTTCTATTATACAAAGGTTGCCTGGAAGAAATCGCCATAGGCGATAAGGCCGCCTTTGCACTAACTCTTTTATGTAAATATTTATTCTAGTTTTACTATATTTGTACTGTATTTGTTTGTGCAATAAAGTGTTTTATTATTATTATTATTACTTTGCCTAATTGTGTTTGCGCCTAATGACAGATAAGTTAAGAATATTCTGTACAAAAGAGGTTTGTAGGCCCCATTTTTTACACACGTTAAACATAAGTAAAGTACTTGTTAACGCGAAATATATCCTTCGATATATTTTATAATATTGTATTTTAAGACATCAGATAATGTGGAAAGTTTCTTGTTTCATCGAAACGTTTTATCCTCAATAACAGGAACCTAATGATAGTCACAACACACGTGTGAAGTTCTCAACGATGCAAATTATTTAGGCGTAAACAAAGAAAGAAGGAAGTTAATATGTCTGTCTGTCTGTCGGCTTCAACAGCAGATCTACTCTATATTTTTTTAAAATTGTAGTCATTTAAGGTACTGAATAATAAAAGCTACAAACGTTCTAGACTTATCTAATATTTATAGACGTTTTTTTAATTTCTGTAGTTTGTTACCTTTATACATCCTTTTCCTATAATAGAACCTTGGAATTTACCTTTCTTCTAATAAAAAAGAATTATCAAAAGCGAACTAATATTATAACTAACAAAACTGTTAATAAACGAAGAAATTATCCGCAAACAATCATAGCAATCAAATTAAAAACCTACTTTTTTAAGTCGGTTAAAAATCTTAGAATAGAAAAGTACAAATGTAATAGTGAAAGTATACAGTAGAAGCACGAATCAAAAAACATGTATGTAGTTTAAAAAATATTTGTCTGTCTTTTTCATTGTGCATAAAAAATCCTTAATAAACTAGTCACAATATTGAATTATTAAATTATCCTGATATTCTCAAAATGTGGTATTATAAAATTATCTTAGCAAAATATGTATTAAGAGCTTAAGTGATGTGTCATATAATATATCAGAAAGTATAAATTATTAAACGTTTGTTATTATCGATAATTTCCAGTTTATAGATTTTTTGCTTATTTCCCTCAGAGATTTATATCTTTTTGGATTAATTGCGATAAAAGGGTGAAAAAGGAAATAATGTGTCACTAACGTCTGTTGCACAATCTTATCTGTGAGATTGTGGTGGGTTGCCGTGGTTACCGCTTACACTCGGATTAGCTAAATAAATTTTATAAATATAATTTGAAATAAAGAAATAATGATTATAAATATTTAATAACCGTGAATTGCTGACATCGTCAATTTCTGTCTATAGTTTACGCGAGTAGTACACATTTAAATAAAACACTTTAACGGTTTAAAACGCGATATATTAGTTAAACTTATTTGAAAATGATTTTTAACTTAATTGCAGCAGCCGTGGGTGACCACGGCTGCTGCAAAGCATCCGAAACGTCGGGCCGAAGTTAAAAATCATTTTCTAATAAGTTTAACTAATATATCGCGTTTTAAACCGTTAAAGTGTTTTATTTAAATCGTCAATTTCTTAAAATGTAATTTATACTTAGGTATTTTATTTTTAATCTATATTAATACTATAAAAAGGAAAGGTTTGTATTTTTCTCTTTTTCTATTTTTGTATATGACGGATAAACTCAAAAAGTACTGGACCGATTTGAATAATTATTTTTTCACTCATATTCCCAAAAAGCCAAAGAAGAAAGTTACATTGTTCTAGCTTCAACGAATCTCTATACAAACTTTCATCCCCCTTTTCAACCCCTATCAACCCTTATTTGGCATTAAAAGTAAAATATCTGAGTACCAAATTTAATTTAAATCAGTTCAGTAGTTTCGTAGCTAAAGCCGGACAGACAGACAGAATTACTTTAGCATTTTTTAATATTAGAATAGATATAGGCACTATAGATTACTAAATGGATTTTAATGAGGATCACCTAGCTTGCTTGCATATAACAACTAACATAGAACCGTACTTAATAATGTTTTACGATTTTTTAGAGCAAAAGTAATAAGACAATAATTGCTCATTTTGTTTAAAGGGTAGATTTTATAGAGAAAACGATTTTATTAATAATTGTATACCTTTATAACTTGAAAAAGCCACGTTAGTAAACCATTTTCGGTCAATATCATTCAATCATCGTGACTTCGTTGCTTATAAAAATTTGACAATTTTGTTAAATTATTGTTGCATATTAGAATTTAATGAAGTAAAGTCAAGACAATAAGCAGACACGTGTACAGCTCACTTGGTACATTGAGTCCTTGTAATATATTTTTGTACATACATTATTTCAGGAAGACTTAAAACACACTTTATGGCAGCATATAGATTATTATTATTAAAACACATTATGGCATACATTTATTTTTTATCAGTGCTTCACCACAGAGGACATCCGATGTACCAAGGTTGGTCTGTGAAGTAGATGTGCATGGTTACGACACCGTTGTTTTTGGCCAAGTCGTACAAGCACTGAGGTCCGTTGGGCACGATCGCCTATAAATAAAGGGTAAAATTAAAAATTAATAGAATAAAAATTAATCCGTCATTTTGATTTTGACGTGACATGAGTATGACGTAACGCATTGTCATCCAAACTACACATGTGATACAAATGTATTATTTTACATCTGTAGTTGACTAATGCATTTCATTAAAAATAATATCGACAAGTGACGACGCAATTTATTAAATCTGTACATTGTGATTCCATTTAAATTATAATTATTATGATTTTTTTGGTACAGCAGCAAATAACAATAACTATGATATCTGTATTGGGTAAAATACTCGACCCTCGAGTGTTTTTTTTATTTATTTTTTTTTGTTTTTTATCTGCTTCTCGGGTCATGTAGACTCCAATATTAACTTATTTTAACTAAAATAGCTCATAATTTTAACTAACAATACAAAAAAGGCAAACAATATAACAGTATTAACTAATATATAAAATGGGTTTATTTTAACAAAATCCACGTAACAAGCGGGGTTCTAAGATACATTGCTATTACACTCCGTAGAGAGGAAATGGGGAAATGGTTGAAATAGCAGATAGTATGGACTGATCAACCGGCCTTCTATCGGTGTCCCCAATAGAAAATAATGTAATGAGAAGTGAAGAATTAGCTCTGTTTGGAAAAACTATAAATTTGAAAACATTAATATTTTTCACATGTTATTTTATTGCACATGAAGGTACTATATAATTTAAAAATCGAAAATAAATTGAAAAAAATTTCGACTCGGGCAGGACTTGAACCGGCATCGTCAGCGTTCCATGCAGTTGCTCTACCAATTGAGCTACCGAGTCCTGCCCTGAGTCGAAAATTTTTTCAATTTATTTTCGATTTAAAAAAAAACTATAAATACTCAAATTAACGACATTTTTTTTTCAATCATAGAGGAAGACAGTGAAGCACGGTATTCATTCAGAACCCCAGCCCTCCATACATACGTCCATACCATTAATTTAAGATCTAGATTTCCTAACAGTCACCAAATTTATAAAATGTTTAGAAACATGTTAGTTACGCTGGAGATCAAACTTACGATTTATTGCTACAATTAGATCAATAAACTCGTCATAAAGCCAGAAATACACCATCAATAGAAATCATAAGAATCAGTTACACCTGTGTCAACAATTCTTTAAGCCTTCATTGAAAATATTTTGTCAATTGTATTTTCATGCAAAGTTACAGAAATACTGAAACTTACTTTGACAGCTGCCTCGTCTGGGTGTTCGAACCAGTCACGTCTGCCGCTAGGGATCTCCAGTTTACCAGCTACCAAGAAACCGACACCCTCTAATTTGCCTGAGTCGACGAGGGGGAACCAGGGGAAGATACCCTCAGAGGTGCATGGAGTGCTACTGGTCATGTTGTAGTAGTAGTGACGACCTGAATAAAGACATAACATTATTGTTATAAGTGTTACTATATTGAAATGTATGACCTTCTAGACTAGTGAAAAACAAACGGACAACGGCATCGTAGTTAGTCCTGTCTTTACTCTAGCGACCGGACCCCTAATAACACAAAGACGAAACACTGACTATACACAAGAAATAAGACGATACACGTAGAATGGAAATTGTTATTTTTCCTAGGAAATCCCAAAAATCACATGCTTATGCTAACTAAATAAAAAATGATTTTTTCGCATTTACCAGTTGAATTATGTTGAATTCTTCATAATATTGTTTCTTGTAATATACGTAGTCAAATTGTTACGTGTCCGAGGGACCTTTTTAAAAAGCGAATATATTGTTAAAACTAGACTTAACTACTAGATGGTCGATGTTAGACCTTACTACTACGTCGTCAATGTTAGACCTTACTGCTACATGGTGTCGATTGCTATATCCTTAGTGTGGGATGATGTAACTACGTATGTTAAAAACGACAGTCATGTATATTGTGTATACCTATTATTATTGTTATTGTTTTTTTTGTTTAAATAAAACACTTAAACGGTTTAAAACGCGATATATGTTAGTTAAAGTTAAACAGAGATTTTTAACTACAGCGCGACGTTTCGAATCCTTTGCAGCAGCTGTGGCCACGGGAGGCTAAAGGTGTCCCAAAGCAATAACTGCTACGCTAGCGCCATCTGTTCGTCGTAGTTGGTATTTGGCCAAACTACTACGGCGACTGCTACCGTGAAAGTGTTTTATTTAAATGTGTACTGCTCGCGTAAACTACAGACAGTATTTAATTTTATTTGTGTTATTAACTCACCCATCCATGGGATACAAGCTTGGACAGTGAAAATACTGTTTTTAATATCTTCTTCGTTTTCAGAAATGGTGACAAGTTGTCCATTGAAACCGGTCACCAAGATCTTCTCTTCTCTTATCACGCTCTCGAAGTCGTTCATTGGGTCGTACTCGGTCAACGATGGGGATCCTAAGCGAGAAATAACATTGTTAGAATCTAGAAACATTATTTTACTTCTACTCTTTTTTCTTCTTTCATTTTGATAGTAATGTAATCAGTCGAGTATCACAAAGAAATGAAAATCACTGCTTGGATACATTTACTCATTACTCAACATTCGACAAGAACAACTTAAAACATTTAAACGAATGCAATGTCATTCAAATATACTCCGCTTGTATGACAAGTGTCAGGCGCTACTTTTTTAATTAAACCCGTTTAGTTTGCTATAGTTTTATAGATTAATATATGTTACCTGGAGAAACGAAGAAGATCTGAGTAGTCCAGTATGTGCGGCGTGTTTGTCCGAAGCTAACTGGTGGTCTCCACTCTGTGTAGCCTTGGGTCTTCCAGTCGTACACTGCATTCGAGAACAGGCTCTGGTCAAGCTGTACAAAATGCAAAGCGATTTTCAACAGGGGCTCAATTTACAAGCACAAGGCCACAAAATCAGGTAGATGGAATTACAACACAATTTTAAATAAAAATTGTTCTTCTAAATACAAATTCCTACAGCGGCGATGTTGAAATTTAATTAAATCACTTTCAACCGTTTATAACGCGAAATTTATAAGTTAAACTTATTTACAATTTATTTTAACCACGGCCCCACGTTTCGGATGCTTTGCAGCAGCCACGGTGGTCACGGGGGAGGACTAAAGACCGAGGGCGTTGCTTACAAATATTACAAGCCATCTGTTCCTTGCAGTTGGTATTTGGAGAAAGTACGGTACATGTAGAACGAAGTTTTCTTAAAACCTTACTCTATTTGAAACATATTCTCGATATGAATCTTGAATCGAAATTAATTGAGAACACATAACAAAGTTTGTATAACTATGAACAAGATCACTAACCGCGATTTGAAGACCAGCAATTCTGTCGGTGCTGTCGAAGAATCCGCAAAGCACGCGATCAGGATGGCAGTACATGGTCAAGTTGGAGTTGGGGAGGTTAGCCACACCCTGAGTGACACTCCAGCTGTTAAAGATAGCATTGAGAACAGTGCGAGGGACATCGAAGAAGAAGTCAGTTCCAGGCCGTAGACCGACGTTGAATTTCACTGAAAATAGATTTTTTACATTTGTAGCAATGTTTTTGATGAATTAGATTTCAAATAGCTTATTTCTAACGGGAAATGGAAAACAGAAGCAAGAAATGGAGATTACTTTATTTATTTAAACGACTAAATAACATTTTACGAGTCAAATTTATTTCTATTATAAAAGTCTTAAACGGATTAGGGAAAATTAATTTTTTTTTGTAAAAGACATACCTCTCAGTCCACGTCTGCGAGCAGCCTCTGTAACAAATAATGATACATTAAATTATATTATTTATTTTAAATCAACATCCATCAGAAAGTTACTGCTATATATGTATAGTACCTGAATCTTCAAATCGTAATTAATTAATAATAGTAATATATGGGGAAGTATATATCGAACCGATAAAATGTGGATAAGAATTATTTTAACGAGATTTTTTAGATATTAATCTAAATCTATACTAATGTTAAAAACCTGAGGAGTTTGTTTGTTTGAACGCGCTAATCTCGGGAACTGGTCGAATCGAAATAATTTTTTTTATATTGGTTGGAGTATTTATCGAAGCTTTAGGCTATAAAACACGCTGCGATCAAAAGTTATTAGTGGAACGACCTTTGAATGTTCCTGTTGCGTACGCTGGGAAAACCGTTCTCAGAATATATCAATATAAGAAAAATGTATCTTTAAATGATCTCAAAAAAAGGGTTGCGACACTATATTATAGCTATCTATTAAGATTAACCTGTGAGAACGACGGGCTGCGTTGCTACGACGTCGTAGGTCATAATTTTAATTTATAAAGCTGAGGAGGAGGTTTTCAAAAACCAAATTTTTATGATCAAAATAACCATTCTACGCGGAGAAAATCGCTGAAGAAAAAGTTAGTAGTAATATACAATTCTGACAACAATAATATTACAAAACCACTTTTAAAGATACTTTAACAGACTAAATTAACCGATAAATCGTCCCGCAAATTAATGTTGTCAATGCAAGTATTGGATTACTCACCAGTGCCGCAGGTGCACGCAAAAGCGATCACCGCTAGTACTAACAACAGACGGTTCATGTTGGATGTCGTAACAATCAGAAAATAAAAAGACACTCAAATATATACCAACTGTATAGATTAGATATTTTCGGATTACTGATTACAACAATTATATAATTCGAAATTTGTTAACACCAAGTTATCTTTGTTATCTACGTTCCCAGATAACGGGCAGGGTAGCATTTTATGACCGGTTCTCTGTAAACTCTTTAACATTGACTGGGTGAATTGGCTATGAGTAATAAACCCTCTACTAAGCATGGTTTATAGTACAAGTTATTTTGTAAGCCATTATATTCTATTTGTTTCTGTAATAAAGTTATTGTTTTGAAGTAACTAAACCAAAACTTATTAACACGTAAGTATTTATTGTCATTTAATATAAAATAAGATTTTAGAAATTTATTAAAAATCCCTATGGAGCACCTATTTAATACCCATAAGAACCCATAAGAAATTATAGAAATAGGTGCTCCACCTATTTCTATAATTTATTATGAAAAAGTACAAAAATTAAAATAAGTAGGTAAAAATTGTGATTAATATTTATAATTTTATCATAATCAAGTTAATCCGTTTTAATCCCTGGTAATGCGACAGCGAAGATATTGTGTTAATATGTGGTTCATGCTGATTTACACGATTTAGTAAAAATAACTCCATTACATACTTGTCAGCTCAGTTAATGACTAGAAATGATTAGTTACCTAATTTAACTACGACATGACGATTTGGTTACTTTCCAGCAACCGAAATAACTGAACGAATAATTATTCTACCTCGTTTTATTTATATGTAATTAATTCTTTAAAATAACAGTTCTTTTTGTAATTTGTAATTAGTGAAAAAAAAACATTTAAACAGTTCTTAGACAGAGCCTTAAAAATATATCATTCGAAAAAAAAACCATGTTTGTTCAGATATTAAGATTTTATTTCGTGAGTAATTACAGTATTCATGTGAAAATGCTCTTGATTTCATCGTACATTTTGTTTGCATATCTGTAACCATTGAGTTTTACTCGTTCCATGACCGCTGCTGGTTGTATGGAGTCTCCGGGCCTGCAACAGATCAGAACAGATAGTTTTTAATACTATAATATTATATATTACGCGAATTTTACTAATAACAAACTCATAATTACATAGTTTTTTATAGAAATACATTGTACTTATTGCATAATACATAGTATGTAATAAAAAAGCACTAGAATGCTGAATTACTAATAATGCTAAGTAAGACTTCAATCTTCTTGAAAATAAAAATAAATTATAAATAAATAAGCATAAATACTTCTGTTTTTAATTATGAACGAACGTAGGAAACTAAAGATCGGTCTAAGTTTTCCAAATGTCAGATTGGAAAACAAATTACTCAAATTGTTGTTGTTTTCCATATAATTGGATTCAAGATAAGGGCGTAATTAGGTGAATTCGCGCGATCGACGCACAAAAACACGCTGTACTTGTCTGATATGATAACATCGTGGGTCCCAATATTAATCTGACCATGTTTATAATTCCCGAGTGTTTTTAAGTCCGTCATATTTGATAAAAGGTATTTCTAGCTATAATGGGTAGTATATTTATCGATTGCATAAATATACAAAAAGCGCATAAACTAAAAGAGTGACAAAAAATTTTCTTCTGGTTAAAAGAAAATTGCTTCTCGAAAACTTTTAAAATTTATATATCCGGTGGACAGAGCGTCAAATTGTAACACTACTTGACTCTAGGCATGGTATTGTCTACAAGCAAAATACATTTCATTTTAGTTTGAATAATTTTACCTGGAACTTGTTTGATCCCAACTTACTCGCATTTAATGTTCCAGGGGTCATCAATGAAGTAGACATGGAGACCGATAGCTTCGTACTTCGATGCGTAGTTTAGGAAACAATCCGGGGCGAATGGGATCACAGTCTTGTACTGAAAGAAATGCAATTTAAGATAAATTACTTTGGAAAACATTGATATTTTTCACACCATTGCACACGATGGAAATGTATAAACTAAAAATGTATTTAAAATAAAAAAAAAACACGCCACTGCGTACTGCAGCACTCACATAAATAGATAATTTAAAAATCGAAAATAAATTTAAAAAAAATTAAACTCGGGCAGCACTTGAATCGGCATCGTCAGCGTTCCGTGTTGTTGCTCTACCAATTGAGCTACCGAGTCCTACCTATATTTATTTTCGATTTTTAAATAATATAGAACCATGTGAAAAATATTAGAGTTTTAAATTATAATTTGATTTTTAATTTATAAATTACCTACTTAAAGAATTCACTTAATGAAAACAAAACAAACATAACATAAAACATAAACACAGATATAAGAACATAACATATAAAAAGTAACTTACAGAATCAGGATTCTTGCTGGAGTACCGTTCGAACCAGTCACGTTTGCCAGGTGGCGTGGGAGCAAGTGATCCGAAGAATTGGAAACCAACACCGATGAGATCCGCGTTGCTAGTCAGGGCGAACCATGGCAATATTGCATCGCAGCTCTTCTCCCGGGTCATATTCCAGTGGTAGTGGGTACCTGAGGAGGATTTTGTAGACTATCACTAATTCTAACTAGAACTTGTTTAATACTTATTATAATCAATATTATTTTGGGAAATAAGAAACAAACAGGAAAGTTGAATAGTATATGGTGAAAAAAAAAATTTTTTTTTTCAAATAAAATAAAATAAGAGGGAGAGTTGAGAGTTATATACTCGTGTGTTTAACAGGTCATTCTTATCATATCCCAGTTAACACACACACTTAATTTAAACTTACCCATGTTGGGAATGCAGTTTTGTTTCTTGAATAAGGTAGTATTCAGTTCGGCTTCAGTGCTCGGGATCCTAATGAGTTGTCCTTCGAGATCGCTAACCCAGACACCACCGTCTTGTAAAGTAGCACCATTTTCAACTGTAGGTCCAGCACCGGCCTTAAGAGATTCTGTAAAAAATCACGTTTTAATTGACTCCTGAAATTAAGACATGTGAGAAAAAAATGTCCACGACAGTAGACGGGACGCGACCGACATCGTGGGTAATAGCTTAACATTACAAAAATGAAGAGGAAGTTTGTAAAAACAAATTTGAATACCCAAAACTACTATTTTACGCGGACAAAGTATTTAATTTAATTATATTTTTTGCTATTTTTTCATTCATGTCAAGTTATTTTCAAAACTAATTCGGCTATTAATGAGTAGGCGATATGTAAATATAATTAATTATTTATATGTACATAGCTCATATTAATTTGATTTAGACCGTACTTCTTATGTTTTGAATTTATTTAGGAGATATGTACTAAAAAAGGCCAATTTAGTAGTCCACATTTGAGTTAACAAAAAATTTACAACGGTGCAATGCGGGATGAAAGCTTATCTTTCATGGTACCAAAAAAGTCATTACTTGTAATAAAAGAATTTAACGGTTTAAAACGCGAAGCATATTAGTTAAACTTATTTGAAAATTATAATAATAATAATAAAAACTCTTTATTGCACAAACATAGACGTAAGAACAAATATATATTCAAAATAAAACATGTTTGTGCAAAGGCGGCCTTATCGCCTATGGCGAATTTCTTTCAGGCAACCTTTGCATGTAGAAATAAAAAATAAAAAGATAATTTTATCCGTTAATATATTTAATAATTATCTAACGGCCTGACGTTTCGGATATGTTGTAAACCGTACATCTAATTTGATTAGATCAAGATAGAGTGAGTAATGTAATCAAGAATGTATCTCTACTTGCCTTCAGATACATAATAAAGAGTTGCAGTCCAGTAGTCTCTGGCTGGCCCAACATCTGATGCTGGGACTCGCCATTTCACCAATCTCTTTTCAGGTTTGATTGTTGGAGAATCGAACTCGTCGGTAGGAAGCTGTAAGATAGGCAAATTAATAACTTCATTTCTTTGTTAGACTTACACTTCTAATGGCAGTAATTCAGTCAAACGCTCAAAGCCGCGACGAGCACTGGCGAAATCAGGGCTGTTGCAGATCGCGGTGTGCTTCAACACAGGCTGAGTGTTTCATCCATTTTCTAATATACTTTCAAATGATACTCCTGTATTTTTTGTTATTATTGTGTAAATTCGGAAAAAAATGACTTTTTATTTTATTTGTAAGAAGGATTTTTCCATATTTTATTACCTACTTATTGTTATAAAAGCAACAGAAATACTTAAATAAATAAAAAATCACGCAAAACCCAAATTAACTTATACTTTTATCTTATTTTTATTCTGTCCAAAATAAAGTGAATAAAACTATCTGGTAGGGATTATGTAGTTATCTAATCACAATGGAAAGGTCTAGTTCAGTTATATAGTTCAAATTCTAGTAGTTTCCAAGTGATGCGCGGAAAGTCGTATTAAAATAAAAACAGCTAGTTAGAATGGCAGAATTTTTGAAGCATTTTGTAGGTGTACGTTCCAGAACAGCAAGTTTCGCTTCCTACTACTTAAAATAGAAGAAATATTAAGTTACATACGAATAATTAAATGATTTGATTTTGATAACATAATAATATAGTATTATTACATATTATAACGGAGGGAGGTCAGGCAAACGAGGGTTTGGGTTTCAAGGAAGACGAAATACCCCACTAATACAAGATTTGCTGTCTATTTCGTTTGGAACATTCGGAAAACCGCAATAGTCTCCAAATGAAACGTCGATTTTGTGACCCTAACATAGTTGTATTATTTCTACCGCCCATTTTTCAAATATTCCGCCTCCTGAGTTTGAAATTTTCATTTTCATCAGAAAATATCCTTACATTGTTCCCATTATACCTACAAGCTTGTCAAAACCTTTACTATTCCGTACTTCTTAATAATTAATACAAATTGATTAATTTCTTATCTGACGACAAATTATAAATAATTTGATACGGTTATAATTCTGAATTATGTACTTGTGATAAGAAGATAATGCAACTATCAGAACGCGGCTTAGTAATAAAGTAAGATCGATTCATAGATATTGTTAGATATTAGAATATGCATAGATTTGTATCTTAAATTATTACCTAACGGAACGTCACTGGGTTGTGACTAAAAACCAGGACGCAGGCTTCAGTCTGGAAAATCCAGCTTACCGCTTTTTTACTGATGTCAAATGGCACTATCAGTTAAAGTTGTATATCTATATACAATCAATATATTGTTTCATGCTAATTGTAATTACAAGAACTGAATTTTTAAAGATTTGTCAGGGTCCTAAGAAATTAAAGAAAAAATATCTTAATTTCAGTTGTATAAAGATAATAGATTAGCTATTACGTAATATTAAATCTCTATCAATATATCATCAGTACAGTATTCCATCTTTTTCTTTAAGTAGTACCTTTAAAATATTGTCTGGAAGATCACTGGCTTCTTGGAAGTCGTATTAAATTAGATAAACGGTTGCATTACGAGCGTCTGCGCTGATGCGAGTGTATTTTCTGTTATAGCGACGGATTACAGTTGCATGGAATAAAAAAGTAATCCGAGTAAAAAATCACTCTGTGGCTTTCCGATGTGTACGCTACGAAATATAGTTCATAGAAATGTGTAGGAAAGGATGATTCCTCTTTAAATGATCTAAAAATAATGTCCGCGAAACTTTGTCTATCGTTTAAGATTAATTGCAAAAACTATGGAAAATAACCGACGTGGTGGTTAAATTTATAAAGATGATGAAGAGGGGGTTTGCAAAGACAAAATCTGATTTCCAAAATAACTATACTACGCGGTCGCAGAAATATATATGTATAATACGTCGGGACGTCATTAGTTAAATCAAATTATTACATTCAATAATAAATTCGCGTTTCATCTTATTTAAATTAGTTTTTTTTTACATATTACTTGTGTTATCTACTGAGACACAGATTTTCTGTTAAATTAAAAGAACAAGGAAAAAATGTTCTGATAATCATTAATTAGCTAAAAATGTTTAAGTTTGTCTATTTATTAGTTAACGTTCGAATAATTGTACCGCTTTAGGTAAAAACTCTTACATAGCTCATTTATAAAACGCGCCCAGAAAAGTTGTTTTGGGTTTGGAATAGCTCAAATAGCCGGTCTCCTAAAAGCACGTAAAAAAATACATTTTGTTTTTGTATTACCATCAGACATGTTCTGTTAGAATCATAAAAAAATTTTTGAATCACAGTTAGACATCATGGTCAAAAGTTACATAAATATACTGATACATTTAAAAGTTCATTAAATACTTGCTGTGTTAGCGATTCGTCCGCGAGAATCGTTATTATTGGGCATCCGAATTCGTTTTTGACAGCCTTTATAAACTTACACTGTTGCCCACGAAGTCGGTCGCGTCCCTTCCCGTCGTTCTTGCAAGTTGAGTTAAAGATATATTAGATATATAGTCACGTCACGGACTTTTCTTTAGATCATTTAAAGAGGATTAAATCTTTCGTATTTTCGTTGTTTTTTCGGTCCTATAAGCCACATCGCGTGTGTTATAATATATGCCTATAAGCCTTCCTCGATAAATGTTCTAACCGACACAAAAATAATTTTTGAATTCGAAGCCGTAGTTCTTGAGATTAGCGCGTCCAAACAAACAAACTCTTCAGCTCATATATTAGTACCTACAGATTATTAAAAGTAACAAAGAGCAAGTTCAATAACTTATTTCCAACGACACTATTAATAACATCGTAGGAATAATAAAACTTAGAACTTGTTCGAGATACCAGTTTAAACGAAGAACTTATTTCTCTTTTTCCCTATTCTTCGGGTTGTGCCAAACCTGTATCAGGTATCTACGGTGTTAATTAAAAATTGAACAATAAGGAAAATGGCTTGCTTCGTATAGAAAAAGGTGATTAAGTAAAAGTAGGTAGCTAGTACCAGTTGGTGCGACTTCGTATGAGATTTTTGTATAAGGAACTGATAACATTTCAACAGATGTACTTTCGACATATGGCTCTGGGCATTCGTAAGACAACAGACTGAAATTTGCTATCTGGTTGTACATTTACATGGCTATTGGTGAAACGACGATCTGTCACTTCGTAGATTAACAGACTTCTTTTAAAATTCACTTACAGCAATTTGCAAGCCCGCAACGAAGCCGGCGGTGTCGAAGAGCGGACACACATATCTGCCCTGAGGACAGTACAGCCTCAGCTCTGGTAAAGGACCTGGTGGTCTCTCGGTCCTACGCCAACCCCCTTTCTCCGCTTGCTGTATTGTCCGGGGGATGTTGTAGAAATACTCTTTGTCGATTAATGCGTCTGACCATCCGAATTTCACTGAAAAACAAAAAGCGTAATTTGCATCCAAGGGCCGAGGGTACAGATATCACAAGTGCATGATTTTTTTCAATTTTTTTTTTATTATTTGTATTTTTTATCGAAGAAAAGGTCAGATAAGGCAAGACAGGTAATATACCCCAGCCATATAACATCTGAACAAGATGCGCTTTCGATTTATTTTGTCTTTGGATATTCGGAAATCCGGAGGGAAACCGGTATATCGTGACCCATACGAAGTCCAACATGTCACAGAAAAATTATGAATTGATTTGAAACACGTTGGACAATTGGATGGTTGGATTGGTTGGAAATCGCTATCTCATGTACATAGGTTATAGTTATGGTTATATATAGTTATATAGTTATGGTTTTTTGTACGTGTACATATATCAATCAACCGTCAATCCCAAACATACATTTAATGTTAACTTGTTATTTCAATTATATTTTTGTTTGTCTAATAGTGGACGCTTAGTAACGAATCTAGCTAGCTATCCTACCACATATATGTATGTGTATATTTATAGCGTCTCCTATTTGAAATTACATATTATATATCCAAAAGCAAAGATGTAAATGTTGAAGCTTTCCGTCTCATCTCTAGATAGTATAAATTATTATTTTGCCCAGCCCGGTCTATAAATATTCATTAATGTTACCATATTTTAAAACGTGTTTAGTTGTTTGTGCATTAGATCTTTGTTTTGTAAAGAAATACATTCGATACAAATGACTATGACATATGATAACTAAAGATGATATATAAGATTATAACTCGTTTGACTTACCTCTCAATCCATTGTATTGAACACCTGTAAAGAAACATTGAGTATTAAAAAACTACAAACAAACTTTTCTAAGGTTTTTATACAAAATGCGACTTTTTAAATTGGCATATTATATATGTCTCCAAGTATGCTTGATCTTAGTTGTTATTTGAAAATACGACTACGTCGCTATTGACTATTATATTGTATATATCAAAATACCCCACAAAACAGTTAGGCTTATCTATGGTAATTATAAGAGTTGGTTTGTTTGTTTGAACGTGATAATCTAAAGAACTACAGATTTGAATTAAAAAATAATTAGAGCATCTGTCAAGAAAGTTTGTTAGAGCCACAGTTTGTGACTGATTAGGTGGGAAATGTGGAAAAGAGAAAAAAATTCAACTTTGGAAGTTTTCGATGTGTTCGTACACATCGAAAACTGTGTCGGAAACGGTTCAAGACACCCAAAACATATGTATCACAGGATTATTCCTCTTCAAATAATCTAAAATAATACCGCGACACAATATGCCTATCTTTTAGGATTAACTTGCAAGAACAACAGTATGGTAACCACGTCGTGGGTAACATCTTAAATTTATAAAGATAAAGAGGAAGTTTGCAAAAACCAATTTCGATGCTCAAAACATCCATTCTACGCGAACGAAGTCGCTGTCACAGCTATGTATAGTAATAATATTTTTACATACCGCAAGCGACCGTCGCGACAGTCAAAATAATTAAAATATTCTTCATGTTGAACTTGGTCTAATTGGCAACGTCCGTCCTGGGCAGACTCCCGTGCCACAATGGGCACAATGTATTATTGAGTCATTTAAATAGGGCCCCTGCTTTGCTGGTCTCTTTGTAGATTGAATCCACACAGAACCTATTTTTCCTGTTTGATGGCGAATTTTCTAAAGCTGCGAACTTTTGAATAGGTTTAAAAACAATAATTTTCCTGTTTCGAACATTGATTCGGTAATTAAACGATATAAATAAAATCCCCGACATTATTTAGGTAGACTATTCATATAGTGGAAAATATAGATTTTATGCCTATTTTTCTTATGGAAAAGACATTTTCCAACCGGCTATAAATTATCGAATCAACCTATTGTAGACTCAATTTGACTATAACGCAAGTTTTGGACATCGATTTCTTTTTAGGCGTTCTCAATATCTGCAACAATAAAATAAAATTTGCGTAAAATCTAAAGTGTCTATTTTACAATAATGTGTAGGAAATTAAGCTACACACCAAATACCATTACATGTCTCTTAAAATTGATATACTTATTATGAACTGGTTCCATAAGGAAAGAAACGTATGCCATTTCATAGGAGCCAATATACATGATAAATAAAATATTTCTGTACAGATCACTTAAATATATCTAATAGATTGGACTACACATCACATAAATTAAAATACCTATGTAGGAACCAATTACTGGTGTTCACAGCATTGCCAATTCCATATTAGCATTTTAAAAGATGTAAGAAACAAAATAGAGAGAGGGAGAGAGGGAGAGAGGAGAGAAGAGAACCTAATAATAGTAAAATGTCTATAGTCAATTTATATTTAAACCTTTTTTATAACCAAAGTAAGTCGCGTGACGTTATCAAGAATTTTATATACACGTACACGGTGCAAAGGAGAGTTACGAGCGACGTTAATTTCTGATGTATAGGATATTAATGTAACCGTTTTAGAAGATTTATAACTGAAATATAACTCTCGAATCAAATATTTAAACTATCAGTACATATATCTATTCCAATATTGTAAAGCTGAAGAGTTTGTTTCTTTGTTTGTTTGAACGCGTTAATATCTTAAGAACTACTAGTGTAAATAGAACAATTTTTGGTTCATGTGTTAGCTGGAGCATTTATCGAGGGAGATTATAAGTTATAAAACATCACACTAAGACCAATAGGAGAGAAGAAACAGTGGGAAATGTGGAAAATCGGGGGAAATTATTCATCTTTGAAGGCTTCTGTTACGTGTGCTGCGAAAACGATTCGAGAAACCTAAAACCAATGTTTGGAAGCATGACTCTTCTTTAAACGATCTACAAAATGTCCTCAACTGTATATATCTTTAAAGAATGATAGGGGGCGACGGACGGAGGTTGCTTGTAAAAATAAATGAAGCCTAAAAAACTATTCTACGTGGACGAGTCGCTGGCAGAGCAAGTTTCAAGTATAGAAGTACAGTAGCAGGTCAAATTATATTAATTTTAAACGCCTTGAGAAAACAGTTTGGCAAAAACTTCTCCGCTATAAAGTTACCCATGGCGCCGCACAGGCGTTGTGATTTTAACAAGTTGGCCCTCGGCCCGGGAATAATGAATTGCTACTTTATCTCGCAAACTCTTATTTTCAATCGCGTCTAATAAATAAATCACTGATACAATTTGCATTTATACAACTAATTTCGTTGATTTATTTCAGACGATACAAGATGCGGCCCGCGATATGACAGGCTAAAAGCTTAAATTAATAAAGATACTTCAATATTGATGATTCTTAGAATTTGACGTCTACTGAAAGTAGTTTTTTTGCATTCTTTAACCTTTAGTTTATGCTTTTCTTTTCGTATTCAGTAATAAACTATTAAGTATGAAAACTTTAATATGTTTTACATGTTATTGCACATGAAGGCACTATATAAATTAAAAATCGAAAATAAATTGAAAATATTTTCGACTCGGGCAGGACTTGAACCGGCATCGTCGGCGTTTTTTTTTTCAATTTATTTTCGATTTTTAAACTATGAAGTAATTAGATTATTAAGTAAAAGTAATATATTTTCGTTCAGAGTCAAAGTACTTAAATTTGAACAATTTATTTTTAAAACATTGTAATTCATTTTGTATGAAGCCCTGCTCCAGCAAAAATAAATAAGTTTTTTTTTGTATAAAATCACAAATAATTTAATAGTAATGGAGGTTTATTGTTTAAAAATGCATTAATTCACCTTTTTTGTATGTGATTATTTATTTATTATACAATTATCATCATAGACAAGATAATATATATTGCTAATATGATTTATTGCTGTACAAGGCTTCACTCACCAAATAATTAATATAATTTTGTAATTATACATATCAAGTAATAAGGCACAAAGAAATCGGTTGACCTTCTAATGTTGTATTTCAACGTAACGTGCCGTCACAACACGTCATAATGTCCTAATTTTCTATTCACAAGGACTTTAAAATCCCGGCTAACATCCTCTATCTATTGCCTAGATAAAGTAAGAGTACACGTAATGCCCCAACAAAGCTGAATCAATGGACAGGGAATGCCCAATGTCGTTCATTCAATACTTGTACAAGGCCTTGTAGACTAAGAGACGGGATATTTTTTTTCTAATTCTAAGTTAACTATAGCCTGTACTTTAAAAGAGTCGCGCACGTTAAAATAAAATACTTTTTATTGGTAAAAATGCGAATTATATTAATTTACTTATTTTTAATTTCGTTGCCGTTGCGGCAGCAGTTGTCCTTGTATGCTTCAAAGTATCTTAAATGTCGGGCTGAGGTTGTAAAAAATTAAAAATATTTTAGCAAATATATTTCTTCGTTTTATAAGGCATTTTTTTAAATATACATTATATTTTGAAAACTCTAATCTATACTAATATATAAAGCTGAAGAGTTTGTTTGTTTGAACGCGCTAATCTCAAGAACTACCGTTTCGAATTGAAAAAACATGTGTATTGGTTAGATCATTTATCGAGGAAGGCTATACGCAATAAAACATCGCCCTGTGACGAATACAAGCGAAGATACAGCGAGAAATCTGAAAAAAAATTGGGAAAATTATTCATCATTATGGGTTTCCGAGGCGTACGCTGTAAAACGGTTCAAGATACCCAAAAAAATATTTATGAAAGAATAATTCCTCTTTAAATTATAAAAAAAAACCCTTAATGCTACATCTTTAAAGGTTAATTTGCAAGAACGACGGGAAGGGACGCGATCGACGTCGTTAGTAAAAACGAATGTGGATGCCCGAAATAACTATTCTACGCGGATATTTTAAGTACATTACTGATTACAAAGTGTATATCTTGCAATACTTTTTACATTTTTTTTAAAACTATGAATGAAATTTCTTCGTTCCCTAGTGATGAATAAAAGTAAGTAGCATCATCCCTGTTCAAGGAGTTGATAACGAAACGAAATGCATACAAACAACGTACAATGAAAATAGATTCGTGTCTCCGTCTATACGCCTGTATTTTACAATTCGTGACACAGTTAACAAATCCGGTGTATTTGCCCGCATGCGTTATGCCAATAAATGTTATTGCTTAAGAATTACAATTGTACGAGTAATATAGTCAGAAATTATATTCTTATTTACTGCAAAATCTGACTGTTTATCTTTACGAAATGCATAACGAGAAATTTGTGTTTTTAGAACTTTCTTTTCGGCCCCGCCTCGACATTCTCGAAAGCCCCTAGAGGTTCGTCCAGGTCTGGCAAGTTCCTGGTCTGTTCTGGCTATTTGCCTGTTTAAATTCGATTAGAACTAATAATTGAAATCTAGTTTGTCCCATGCCCCACGCTATTTAAATAAAGTATACTAGCAAATTTAGTTGCTTTGCTTTGAGAAATTGGAGGTACAAGTTTATTAGACACAGTTACAGTATTGAAAGAATAGATTAATCTTATGACCTACATTAAGACGCAGTAAGTTTCGTGGATTTCCGAATATCCAAAGCCAAAATAGGTCGATAGCATGACTTGTAAGATGTTATTTGGCTACTAGAATACTACTGGGGTACTAGAATAGAAAGTAAGAAATACTATAGTTGTGATATTTAAAAAAAATGCAGATTTTCAACTCTTGGTATTTATTATTAATTATACTTTATGTTATTTAAGGGGTTCATTTTTAACATACGCTAACGATGCTTCTTCTGCGATTACCCTTTTATTTTTTTAAATAGTTAAAAACACTTTTCCAAAAAGGTGAAAATTAAGATAAGCCTAAACGTAATTCGGAATACGAAAGCTTTTTAACTATTATGCAATGACTAAAGGCAAATACTTACTCACAAAATCATAAATCTTCGTATACCTAAAATATAAAATTGTCTTCAAAACACGAGACAAACGGTCGGTGATTTGGAAAAGGAGGTTCGCAAAGATATCTCCTACAAGAACAGCGATGTTGTCTTGACATTGACAAATTGGCAGCCGTGAAAACGATCCCACTTCTCATCAATCTCCCCGTTCACCAGATGGATCACCAACTGTAATAAGGATACAGTGTAAAACAACACAGTGTGAGATAAAGAAAAGCAAAGATAGGACGTATGTTTCTTTATTTGAAATAATCATATATAATCTAAAGATTGTATATTGATATGAGGCTGCTAGAGGCACAGTGGCCTAAAATTAAACATAATTTTTAATAAGGAGGTAAAACAATGCGCAATTAATTTAGGCGAAAAGGAATTTATATTAGTATTTGTGTAAGAATTATGTTAACAATTTTCGGTCACTGTGTTCTTGTAGATTAACATTTTGGACTATAAAAATATGAATAACTCAAGTCATAAAATTGCAGTTAGGCTACTCTGCCTCTAGCCCCATATATAAATACTGACGTCATTATACATAATGAAAACCGCTCATTAGATATTATGTCCTACATACATTTAACGAAGCCAAAAACCCATAGATTTTTTTTAAGTTCGTGGCAAATAAAAACGATCTAGATAAGCCTAGTTT